TAGTCTAGACCGGTGTTTTACAATGTGTGGCCCTTGGCCCACCCAGAACCCTGCATTTCAAGATGCTTGTTTGAAAGGCAGCTTCTTAGACTCTACACAGACCTACTAAATCAGATCCTTGCAGGTTGCTTCAGAAAAAGTTTTACACAACGTTTGAAAAACACTGCTAGAGATTTTGGAAAATGAAAATCAACTTCGGTTCTACCTGCCTCGTCTTGGACAAATCCAGAAAACATCTCCAAGCTTCTGTGTGCTCATCTTCCATACAGAAACAAGAGTAACTGCTTAACACCTAAGGCGATTATAAGGATGAATATAAATCAAAGCACTTTCTCAGCTGGAAAATGCTCTATGAGAGGTAGTTAACAGCAATAGTTTTCTGGTTAACAAGTATATTGCATATGGTAGCAATCCTAGACTTTTCTATCCGGAGATTGGAGCTACTAGAAATTGATATGTGTAGACTATTTTTAAATTGTAATAATTATGTGTGAAATATATACCTATGATAATAAAACATTATCAAAAAGTAAATGGAAACAGCAGTAATACACACCTCTACTGAGAGCTTTTTTATTATCATATCTGGCAATGAATGGGTAGGGGTCAGGAATGCTAAATGTCCAGCAGTGCATGGCTCTGCACCTCCATTCAGAAGCACACCCCTTCCACAACAGAAAGTGGCCATTCATAGCCTTTGCCCTGGAGACAGGGGTTTACAGTGGAAACAGAATCATATTTTTGAATTCTTCACACGTGTGTCATCTTCTGGAAGAAGCTAAGCTCTAGAGCGATTTCTTTGTACTCTTTTGGGGTACTCCTTTGGGAACCTAATGAAAGCCATGACCATTTTCCCCAGAAAATTACCTGTAAATGCAAATTTTACTCTAGAGTCTGTTTATTCTTTTGCGTATCATAGGGGATAATGATAATTACCTCTCAGGGTACTGAGCAATGCTATTATCAGAAATAGAATATTTAAAAACACTTTGTCAATTATAAAGATTGTTGCTATTACTTTTTTTTTTTTTTTTTTTTTAAAAGAATTTTAATGGGGAAATTGGGGGTTGGAACAGCGCTGGGGAATTGGGGAACGGGGAACAGACAAGTTGCTGTCGTTTTGTTCTTCAATCTAGTTGTGGAGGACGTTGCTTCACTGGCCCAAGTTGGCACCATCATTGCGCTCTTCTCTGGCGAGGCAGATCAGTCGCCGGCCTCTGGACGGCCGCTCACTGCGGCTGCTGGCCGCTCACGCTGGCTGCTGGCCACACACGGTAGCCCATGGCAACCCACTGCCACAGAGGCTGCAGCCCACGCCGTCACCGGCGACTCATGGCAGCCCAGCTCCAGGTTGAGCTGTTGTTCAGCATCTTAGCTGTGGAGGGCAGTATCACTGGCCCTCACATGTGGGATCCGAACCGGGGCCCTCTGGCATCCCAAGCGAGTTCTCAACCATCGCGCCACTCGGCCGGCCCACTTTTTTTTTTTTTTGAGAGTAACTCTTAGTACTACTGACTCTACAGGGTCATTTGGCAGAAATATTTAAGAGACCTTTCACTCTATGCTCACAGTTACCTACAATGTCCACCAGATAAAAAAATGGGCAACGGATCCAAATAGACATGTCTCCAAAGAAGACATAACATAAGCACATGAAATATGCTTGATTATTAGTCATTAGGGAAACACAAATAAAAAAAAAATCACAAACGAGATACCACAAAGAGCTTCTGAAGTGAAAGGCCTCAATTTCCTCATTTGTAAAATGGGGCAGTTAACTCGATGAGCTGATTCTGGTCTCTGGCCCTTTAAGTTTGTACTTTGGATGGCAGCTCTAACTGTACTTTGAAGGTTGGTTTTGAGTTTATACCTACCACAAAGGTTTATGCTACAAAAGAACAACCTCGAAGGGTGTACATTTTATACCTGCTCGTGGTTGCTTCTTTTGAGCTGTCAGGTGGGTCAACACAGGAGCAGCCCCTAGACTTCTACCATATAAGTATCTCAAAAGCTGTCATCTCTGCACCTCTCAGCCCTCTGCTTGAGGCCTCACAACAACTCCTGCATCCTCAGCAAACATTTGCTGAACTGGGTGGTTTGCTCCATGCAAGTAATGATCACAACAGAAGAAATAGCTCCAAACATGGCAGACAGTTTTATGTTAATACCATTCATGAACAGGAGTTTCAGCAGGTGTAAAGTAGGAATATGCCTCCAAATTCTTTTTAAATATACCGTTGTCAGTATGTTAAAGTGCATTACTCAACTGGCCACCATAATATCAGAGCTCTGCTCCAGGAGCTGAGAGTAGAGGCATGTGGACAAGTTTACAGAATATTTAAAAACACACACACACATACCCACATATGAAACTGTATTCACATTCACAATACACAGCATCGCTCATGCAGTGAAGTAGAGATGACAGAAACTGGGCATAAAAAATAGCAGCAATAAACGCAAAGGTAGTAACGATGGGGTAAGAGGGCTGTTACCTCTGAAATCCTTCCCTACCAACAGGAAGAAGACTCTGGGAAGGAGGCGGAGGATGTGTTCCCTGCTACCTGCTTCAACACTACCATTCAGATGCCAAGCAGAAACAAGGCAAGTTTCGCTCAAAGGATATTTAATTGACTCACCACTTGATACGTTTTATAACCAAAGTACAGAAAACAACATACCAGCTCAGCGTTCAAGTGATGCCCAATACCAGCACCACCTCAGTGGGTGAGCAGCTTGTCCAGGTCGTACACAGGTGAACACGTACACACGTGACGTCCCCACAGCCACGTGGTGGCTTACGACAAACTCATACTTGCTTAGACAGTGTGAAACACTTTCTAAATGAAGACAAGAACCCTGACCTTGCAGAGAATGGCACTGCCCACCAATCACGAACACATGTACATATAGAAGCAGAGGTGACACACAAGAGTGTGAGGCTTCCGTTGGCTGGAACCAATCTGAACTACTTCCAAGAACTGTCAGTGGGATCAAGCACTGTTGTCTCTACATACTGTTCCGGTTCCCTGAAACCACAGGCATTTCTCAGCCGTCCAAATGGCTGCTGTTCTTCTTCAATAGGTGACAGGTAGCTGCAGGCACAGTCGCAGTTCTTTTGCACCTCGAGCAGCTGTGTCTGCTTTCATGACCTTGACACTAGCCAGGGAGCCGGTGCCTGTGTTTCTGAGCCCTGCCCTACAGCAGAAAGACAAGCAACACCTGACAAAGCAAAAGTCTGCAACACTGAAGATTAAGGTCACTTATATCTTTAAGAAATTCCCTGCAGCCAGAAGACAGTTCAAAGAAAGCAGATGAAAAATTTCCAAGGGGATGGTAGGGGGAGGGGAGTGACCCGATGGGAGACATTAAAACTGGCATTTCACTGGCATGCATATAAAGTCCATCATGATACATCCATCAATTCCTTTAAATCTGAGCCTGGAGTGGGACACAAAACCAAGGACCTACTTGAGATAATTATGTGCGATAACCATTTTAATCTTGTAAAAGTTTAACACTTACATTTGGGCTACAAAGTCAAAATCATCCCAGGCAGGACACTGGGATGAGTCCATTTACCATTAGAGAATGGAGTCAAATTAAAGTGAATGCCCTACAAGCTGAAGCTGCAAGCCTGGTCAGTAATTCCTGAGTTATCTAATCCTGGACTCCGGCTTCTCCGTATCTTGCTGAAGGCCTCGAAGCTGCTGTGAGTGGTTTATGGCCGACTCAATTCAGCATAATTGATACTTGCTTAAAGGAAACCGCGATCAGCCTTACTACTGCTAACATCCCATTAAGACTAAAAGTTAATTAGGCTGTGTTCCATAAAGTTAATTTGAGACATTTGTCTCAATAGCATTATTGTAATTATTCCTCATCAAAATGAATACCACCTCCTACTGCACGCCAAGGTCTTGTGTAAACAACAGCAAAAAAAAATCTAACAACGCGACTTCCATGCTCCACCTGAGTTATTTAAGTAGGTTGATATGGAACTGCAAATGGGGGTTCATAGACATTAACATGTTTTTAAAGAATACTGCCAAGGCAGGTTTAAGACATCTTGTTTTAAGTTTCCAACAGCCAGGAAAAGAAAAGTAAACTAAACAGCATGACAAATTTCATATATCATGACAATACTAGTAAAAGTCAAAAAAAGAAGCACCTATTAAAGTCTATCTGTTACATATGCTGGGGCCTAGGAATGGACGCCTCAAAATGCTGGCTGAATGAGCACACTGCACAGCATGTGTGTGTGTCTGCCCTGTGTACCTTCCACGTCCAGCCCATAGCTGCGTTTCCAACCACCCTCAGGAGGCTGGCAAGGCCTCGGGCACACCAGAGAAGCAGGGGCACCAAGGTACCCATTGGCGACATTGCTAGTGACAAAGAACAGAAGGTGGTGTCCCTGGCAAATTTTTTCCTCAAGATCCCTAATTTAAATATAGAAAACTAATCCCCTTCCACAACTCTTTTAAAATACATTTAATAAAATATAAAATGTAATTGTTAGAGAAACAAAACAAATGCATAAAAATTCAAAAGAAAGGGTAGTTTATCATATATACTTACATATCATGTAGGATTGGTCTCTAGTGGCTAAAGGGTAGTATCACAGTTAAAACATCTTTAAAATTAAGCTTCAAGAGGAAAACTAAACTGCAGTCATATTTTGTTACTACTCATCTCTTGGCATCATCAGTGGTCCAGTGATACGATCACAATGAGGCGGGGGTGCGGGTAGGAGAGAAAGGCGGGAGGGTCTGGGCCAGGTATATCTACAAACATCAACAACTCCCACAGTTTAATCCTGAACATGGACAGCAAGTGCCCTTCCAACAGTGGCTGCACATTACAAGCACCTAAGAAGCTTTAAATATCCCAATGCCCAGGCTGTCCATCCCCTTGCCCACCCCGAAATCAAATCTAATCTAACCTAATCTCTAGAGATGGGATCTAAGCAAGAGGAGTTTATAAAGCTCACTAGGTAATACCCATATGCAGCCAAGTTCCAGACGTGTGCTTTGTCTATGCAAGGCCTCAGGTAAAATTAATCTACCAAGGGCCGGCCGAGTGGCTCAGTTGGTTAAGAGCTCGCTCAAGAGTTTGAGCTCTGAGCAACAGTGGTTCGAGTCCAGCCCGAGCTGAGCA